AAGAAAGAAAGAAAGAAAGAAAGAAAGAAAGAAAGAAAGAAAGAAAGAAAGAAAGAAAGAAAGAAAGAAAGAAAGAAAGAAAGAAAGAAAGAAAGAAAGCCCACATCCTGGATTCACTCAGGCTGAAGAGTGTTTTTAGAGAGTTGTTCCATTCACTTGAGGCTCCAGAAATATTTTGGTGGACACAAATTTTAATTTTGTGTAGATCTCCTTGTGGAAGAGCAAACCACTTGGATAAAATTGCAGGCACCTGAGCTGTCTTCTTTCCTTCCACCCTCCAGCCTATTGGAGCCTTTGCCCCAGCACCAGCAGAGTTAAATAAATAAACAAAGCTGTAACCTTGGCACAGCTGGGAGTACAGACAGGGCTTTTGAAACACACAGAGATACAACAAAAGAAAAAAGCAGCAGCTCATACAGTCATAGTATGTTCGTTCATTGTAAGGGGCTGGAGGATGGGGGGGAATGGAGGAAGGATTGGCTCTGTTGAACACTACTAGTAAAGGGGTTGGAAAGAATTTCAGCAGCCCTGCTCTATCCACTTTCCTGGGTTTATTCATGTTATCAAAGCCAATCCCAGAACTTTCCCTGTGTGGTTTTGTACCAGCTATCATTCCATCTGATGCAAAAGAATTTGCTTTTGAGATTTCTTTCAAAGAAAGGGATTTTACTCATGCTTTCAATCTATTTAGTTACTAGGTAGCAGAATAGTATTTTTCTCTGTATAACAATCTCATAAAGGTCTGCTGGGAGGAACAAAAAAGACGACAGCTGTGACAACATGATTGAAACCTGACTCTTTTTAACATCTGCTTGGTCCATGCAAATGGGTAAGAGTTTCATTTGCCATTGTGGAAAGGGAACTTCACGAGGACAGTGGTGACACCCAAGCAGGAAGCCCAAGGGGAACATCAGGCCAGCCATAAAACAAACTTGCATAGGAAAAGGAATCAAATAAAAGGTTAAAGAAACCCCTTAGACAAAAGCCCAAATAATTAAGAAAACTAGGGAAACAAGAAAAGAAAACATGCCAAATCAGCAAAACAAACAGACAAAAGACACAAAATATATTGCAAAGGAGACAGACAGGAGATTGCCACAAAACAAATATAAGAAAACATTAGGACGAAACTGTCCGGCGGAAATGAAGACAACCCCTGACAGGATTTAAAACATTAAGAAATACAAACACAAGCACTCACACACAAAAGGAGAAAAAAAGTATAAAAATCAGCGGCTTATCATACAAAGCTAGCTAGCCCCAGGAACACAGACTTCTTGCTATCTCTCGCCTTCCTGAAAAATAAAAAGATCCAGCTTTCAAGCAGTTGTCTGTATCCTTGCACCAGAGCTCTCCCAGCAGGAAAATCGAATCCTCAGAAGAAAGGCATTTTTCCAGCCTTTCAACAATATAATAGAATTAGAGGTCTGGAAGGGACCTTGGAGGTCTTCAAGTCCAACCCTCTGCCCAAAGGAGGAGTCCTCATATTATAGCAATAGCACTTAGACTTATATACCGCTTCACAGTGCTTTACAACCCTCTCTAAGCGGTTTACAGAGTCAGTCTATTGCCCCCAGCAGTCTGGGTCCCCATTTTACCGACTTCAGAAGGGTGGAAGGCTGTCAGCCTTGAGCCTGGTGGGATTTGAACTGCCAAATTGCAGTCAGGCGGCAGTCAGCAGAATTAACCTACAGTACTGCAGGCTAAAACTGTGCCACCACAGCTATTTGGGACAAATGGTCATCCAGTCTTTTCTTGAAAACATCCTGTGATGGAGCACCCACAATTCTACCAGGTGTTCCACTGATTTAAAAGTTCTCATTGTCAGGAATTCCCTCCTTATTTCCAGATTGGATCTCCCTCTGGCAAGCTTCCACTCTTGGCTTCTTGTCTTACCTTCCTTATCTCATCTCCTATTCTTGTTCTACCTGTCTTGATTTTGTTAACTTTCCTTCCCCATAGATACCACAGCTGGGTTCCCTTGCTTTAATTCATGAGAAAATACTTCCCCTTGGCTTGAAAAAAAAAAGTATTGGAGAACTTCTACTTTTCCAGGATTAATCACACACACACACACCCTTCCCCCCCCCCCCGCCCCCAGAAATGTGAAAATTAAAAGGGCCACTGATCAATATTTGCATTATAATTTGCACTATAATATTTGCATAGCATCCAGGGCTAAAAACTTACTTTTTTTTTCCAACATAAGAAGGGCTGACGTCATTGCCATCTCAGTTTCAGAGGTGGGTTGAATTGTATCCTCAGTGACTGCAAAGACATTCAACTGTGAGCGCATTCCCACCCTGATATCTATGTGAAATGAATGTTAGGAAGGTGGGCTATTCTCTGTTGTTTAAACCCAGTTTATAGAATCACAGAATTGGAAGAAAAAGACAATCTAATCTCTCTTGTCATGAAGAAAATCGACAACTACAGTAGCCTTCTAGCCTCTGTTTAAAAACTTACACGGAAGAGGTTCAGCCTGAAGGCAAGGCTGCTGGATCCACGATCAAATGCAAGGATATTATTTAAAAAACCATTTTCTTATGTTTAATCCCTTTATCCAAGTTTAAATTGTTGGGCTCCTATCTACCGACAACGGGGATTATTGAGTTCATTGATTATTATCTAAACCAGTGGTTCTCAACCTTCCTAATGCCACGACCCTTTAATACAGTTCCTCAAGTTTTGGTGACCCCCAACCATATGGCTCGGTTCCTAAGACCATCAAAAATATGTGTTTTCCGATGGTCTTAGGAGACCCCTGTGAAAGGGTCGTTCGATCCCCAAAGGTGTCGCAACCCACAGGTTGAGAACCACTGATCTAAACATATTAATATAATAAAATACGTATCTCCTCTTAATGGTTGCTTGTCCAGACCCAGCATTCCCCAATTCCTTCAATCTTGCCCCCTTTGAAACTTGAGTTTCAAATCTCCTACCAGTTCAAGTTATCCAGTCTAAGCCCTTTCAACTTTTCAATGTTCTTCTGAAATTATGATGCCCAGAACGGATAATGATTTTCTAAGCATTGCCTTAGCAAATCACTAGGTTCTCAATAGGCCCCCAGAGTTGTGTCTCAATCTTTAGGGAAGAGCATCTGAGTTTTGCCACGACTTGATCAAGCTCTTCAAAAGCCCTCCCTGAAATAGTAATAATAATCCTGATGTGGACATATCCGCAATGCAAAAGAGACAACAAAAACAACCCTCTAGCCCCAAACACTGAAGCCAGAGAGCTCATACACTGACCCCCAGAACTTGGGGGAGGCCCACAGCTCCTTCCAAATTGCCACCAAATTGTAATGGTTAATCCTTCCAAGGGCTAAAAATAAAATTAAACAATAAAGATAAAATTTAGATTTGCTCTAAGTTCTACCTAATTCTTTACCTATCAGGGCATCTGTAAGGATGTTGGAGGGATAGTGGGTAAAAAAAAAAGATCACATTTTCAAAGCCACCAACTTTTTAAAACCATCCCTGCAGAAACCCCTGGTTCCCTTTACTTCTTAGAATATAACCCTTGGCAGTCTGCTCAGAGGTCAAAGGTGACCCTGGGTCCAAGAGTTAGCTTTCCTGTAATCTGCCTGTTTCATTTTTCAGTACATCACTGGTAGCATCTGGCCTAGTTTTGGTAGCCTTCCTCAATAGGATGCCCAGGTATAATGCTCTAAAGTCTAAAGCTTCTTCCTCCCGCAGCATGGAAAGACACAAGAGCCACACTGGAAGAATTTGATTTAGCTCACATTCCCTCCCCTCAAATTTGGTGATTTATGGAGAGTGGAATTATAGTGGTCCCTCTTACCTGTGACTGTATCTGTGAATGATTCTTTATAGTCCTCTACCACTAATGTGGTGATTGGCATAATGGTGGTGGTTGTCCCTAGCCCTGTTGAGACACAATAGTAAGAAAGGTTGGCCATGCCAAATAAAGGTGCCAGCAACAGATTTTGTTGTCTGCTGAGGAGTTAACTCCATCGATCAATTTCTGGTGAACTATATTTGCTCATTACAAAATATTAAATGAAAAGCAATTGATGGGTACTTCAATTATTTCTAATAATTCTAAAAATCAGGAAAAAGGCAAAGAAGGATGCGGAAGGTTGATGTCCTTCAATTTAGCCTCTGGAAATCTTGTAATAGATGTCTGTGCATGCCGAACAAAATTACACAAAATAACTAACCACATCTTAGCCAGCAAGTTGGGTGAATCCAGTTGTGTGATCAATGCCTGGCTCAATATGTCATGTGAATCCAGAAAACTGGGTTAATTGAATACACCTTTGCTAATTATGGGAAGCTCTGTGGTGAGAATATATCCACTGTCATTTCTATGCCTAGTTCAAAACACACATTTTTTTGAGTCACAAACCCCTGATTTGACTTGAGATCGTGACAGTTCAAGGGCTGCTATTCCCATTTTGTCTATGAATGTCTGCCACGGAAGCCTTATCTAGATCTAACTTTCTTAGAAGTAGTAAAAGAACTTCCTCATCTTAGAAGGCAAGAACCAAACATGAGTTCTTTTGTACTGTTGCATTCCATCTCGAGAATCTTCTTCCTTCAAGGATGCCCTGGACAAGTTCTATGTTTTCATTTTCATCACATGTTAAACCTTTCAATTTTGCCAGAGCATTATTCTCCAGATAGGTTTAGGCCACCATGAGGACTATAAACATGGCCTGCTGGAGCTGCACAGGGAGCCATTCGGAGCGAGCGATCTGCTGCTCCTCACACTCAGCCCTTAGTAGAAAATAGGGTCCTACCCTCCACATGAGTTTTTTCCAGTGAGACCAGTCTATCAGGGCAACCTGGTCTACCCAATTATGGGAAGGAGCATACGGCTTCCACTTTCACCTTTCAGCCCCAATCCAGGAGCCTTCACAGGCAGTCGCTTTCACAACAAACTAATTTTGTGTTAATTTTATGATTTGCTGACAAAGAAATAAAGGGAGACTAGTATATATCTATTTCAAGCTATTTAGCTCTCATCAGCTAGCCACACCCTTTGGGATTCGAACCCGAGCCCAGGTTCGAATCGCAGAAGGTTTATAGCTAGCTGATGAGAGCTAAATAGCTTGAAATTGATCTATACTAGTCTACCATTATTTCTTTGTCGGTAAAACATAAGTTTAGCACTCCATTTAACATAGAATAACAGTTGGAAGGGACCTTGGAAGTCATCTAGTCCAACCCCCTGCTCGAGCAGGAGAGTCTATTTCAAATATTAGCCTCTACCTAGGATCGAACTCACAGCCTCCTGATTGTGAGATGAGAGCTCCGACTCTAGGCCATGAAACACACCCAAATGACTTGGGATTGTCATTCCTAGAATTCCCAAACTGGCAAAGCTGAACTTAAGTTTGTGTTTAGAGGTTTACTTATTTCAACTCATTTCCCGGGGAAATATAGCTTTATATCTATATTTAAACTATATAGCTTTAGAGCCTCATAGCTGCATTAATCTAATTAGGGGTTCTGTTTGCACACTGTTCCTTGTTAGGTGAAGCAAAGGACATTTAAGCTTCTTTGAGCTTTCTCCTTACGCCAAAGCTGCATTCACATGTTTTCTTAAAGAACAAAGTTCTCAAGGACACACAGGCTGCCATCGTAGTCTGGTCTTCTGCTTCATGAACTAATGTTAAAACCATCAGCATGTTACATGCAGTCCTTGACTTACCCTAGTTCTTTTAGTGACCGTTCAAAGTTACAATGGCACTGAAAAAAAAGTGACTTATGACCATTTTTCACACTTGTGACCAATGCAGCATCCCCATGGCCACCTGATCACAATTCGGATGCTTGGCAACTGACTCATTTATGATGGCTACAGTGTCCCAGGGCGATGAGATTATCTTTGGTGACCTTCTGACAAGCAAAGGCAATGGGGAAGCCAGATTCACTGAACAACTGTGTTATTAGCAATAGCACTTAGACTTATATACCGCTTCACAGTGCTTTACAGCCCTCTCTAAGCAGTTTACAGAGTCAGTCTCTTGCCCCCAACAATCTGGGTCTTCATTTTACCCACCTTGGAAGGATGGAAGGCTGAGTCAACCTTAAGCTTGGTGGGATTTGAATTGCCAAATTGTAGGCAGCCAGCAGGCAGCAGAAGTAGCTTGCAGTACTGCACTCTAATCACTGCACCACAGAGGCTCCTTATTAACTTAATAGCTGCAGTGATTCACTTAACAACTGTGGCAAGAAAGTTCATAAAATGGGGCAAAGCCTCACGTAACAAATGTCTTGCTTAGCAACAGAAAATTGTGGTCATAAGTCAAGGACCACCTGTATCAACAGAACCAAAATCTACTTACTTTCCTATTTCAGCTTCCATTGATGATTGCCTAGTCTCTCCTCCCCCCACCCACCCACTCCCCACAAAATATTTCAATCAATGTCACCCTGTTTTAATTAAAGAAAGCAGCTCCAAGGTTGGAGTATCCTGCTCCAAGGTCAGGCCACTTGTAGTATATCTACAACAGCCAAAGTCAAAGTCATTCAAAGAATCTTCCAAGTTTGGCCATGTTTACAGTTTGCACATCCCCTTCATTATGTTAGGGTTATGTTATCAGAGGCGGTATTCAGCAGGTTCTGACCAGTTCTGGAGAACCGGTAGCGGAAATTTTGAGTAGTTCAGAGAACCAGCCAATACCACCTCTGACTGGAGATTTTACAGTATCCTTTCCCTGCCACACCCACCAAGCCACGCCCACAGAACCGGTAGTAAAGAAATTTGAACCCCACCACTGTATGTTATGATTATGGTATGTTACACTAATTATACAGTTCAAAATCTCTCTGGGAGCTGCCTGCCTTGTCTAGGCGGTTGAGGCATCTTTTCCAACTTGCTCACCAGAGCAGATGACCCCAGCGTCTTCATGGTGACCACAGTTATGGATGCCCCAACCGAGGCTGAAACAGGCTGAGAGTTGAGGCTCGTTTCCATCGCAATTCACATTATCCAGGAGGATCCGCCCAGTGCCGTAGCCGAAGTAGGCGTTGGTCCTGTAGGCTACTGCATGGCCGCAGTCCATCTGCTTGCACACCACATTGGCATCATGCAGCTCCCACTCATCATCACACACAGTGCCCCAGTTTCCTTTGTAGAATATCTCCACTCGGCCTTGGCAGGCGTTAGCCCCGTTCACCAGCCGGATTCTCCCATTACCTGAAAGAGACCAGAGGATCACCCAACCATCTGCCTTGCTCTGTTTATCGCTTTTGAGAGAAAAAAAATGAGCTTGTGATGACCCAGGGTGGAATACAAAATAAACACAATCACAAAAAAACAGGTGAAGCCCCTTTTATTCCTTCACTTTGCTTCCAAGCTCCAAATATTCTTGACTGGAGACAAAAAAAACTCCCATGCAAGCAGTTACAAAGAGGAGGAAATGCCGTTTAAATTATAAAGAGTAAAAAAACAACACAAACCAAGGACTTGAAGACATCCACAGATATCAGAACACACACTGGAAAGGATGCCAAACTCAGAGAGGAACAATAAACTAGAGATATTTCCAAGCTGTGTTTCCAGCACTGGCCCGAACGCATGTCCATCCTCTTATCCAGTTGTCACAGCTGCAGCCCATGAAGAGGATCAAGGCCCTCTCCTCCCCAGTAGACCACGTCTCTCCCTTATCCTCTCCTCCCTGCGTGCCCCAGGATGGAGAGGGGATGGGCCTGGGTCCTCCTCTGACTGCCCAGCCGGCTTCTGCCCTTCCCCAGCCTCCTCCACAACCTCTGGAGCCACACTTCCACTCCCTGTCGGCTGTTCCTCCTCTCCCTCAGAGTCAGTCTCCACCAGGGGCATGACAGAGTTCTTTTTATGGAAGAGGCAGAAATGTCTACTAAAAGAAAAAAAAACCAAGAAGACCTAGAAGAGAAAACCCATTATTAAGAGGCCACTATTATGCAATATTTCAATCTTCTCCTCTGCTATGGTTGACTTTTTCTAATAAGAAAAAGAAACCAACCCAAAAAAGCCAATAGCAGTGAATGGAAGACTTGATCATCTGAACTCTTTCGTCCCGTGCTATAAAATTCCACGAACAAAGCAGAAAATTGCAATGGCTATTGAGTACCTGTAGTAAAAAGTTATTGTAGCTACCAGACACCACTCTATCCGACCTTAAGTAAATATATCTGAAATAAATGAATACTTTTCCCTACTTTCTATTTTCCCCTCTTTCAGATGCTGTCCACCATATGCTACCTGTTAGGTTATAAGGCCCTTGAGACAAATATCCTTTCCTTCCTTTTCCAGTCATACGCTTGCAAAAATAAATAAGCAAGCCAGCTAAAGATGATTTCTTAAGTAAATCTAGAAAGCACTTACTTTTCTTATCTTTTAATGGGGATGTGGTTGTTTTGCTGGCAGGGTCTTTTGCTGATTGCGTGGGTAGCAGTTCTACAAAGACAGAAAAAATGGATGCATGAAGATCAAGAAAACTATAGAGTAATTATATCAACACCATGGCCGTGTGCCGCGCCCCAACTCTTCTGTACAGGCAGTGTCCTATAACTTCTATCCTATTTGCTAGCACTGGTGGTGTTACCTAGTTTGGTAATGAAATGTTTGCAAGAAAACCACCAAACTCAAGAGAGCACCATAATGACCCTACAGCTTCTATTTTAAATTATAGTTGGTTGACTTGATGAATTTACACAACCTTCCCAAACTTGTGCCCTTCAAATATATTTTAAGAACCTCTAGTCTTAGTTCATCTGAAAGACACCAGCTGAGGAAGATGTAAAAAAAAGCCAGAGGAAGAAGAGGGGGGAGGGAGGAGGGGGGAGGAGGAGGAGGAGGAGGAA